CCACTGGAACATAGTTGTAGCCCCACATGAAAACTCTGATCTGCTTCTTGTACAGGGACACGACGAAAATATCTGTATTTATAGTCAAGTGGTTTCTGCAAAAGAAAAGATGAATAAGCTATAATGAAACCTTACTTCACCTATATGTTTACAGAAATATTGTGCAATAGTGACACTAAAAGCAACAATATCTGCACGCAGTAGAGTTGTTTTGAATATCATGATAATGTATCGATGCTTTAAAAACTGTTACTCTAAAAATATCAGGATTTTCTCTATCATTATCTCAGTTAATCATCAAGATAATCTCATGTGTTAAATATGATTGATTGCATTATTTCTATTTAATAGCTAAAGAAATGAAGATCCAGGGAGGTAAAACTACTATGTAACCAAAGTTTTTTAAGAGGGAAAGTGATAAACTGGTGAAGGATGCACAAAAAGCACAGAGTAGAACTTATCTTTTGCAATAACAGTAAAATAGCAAAATAAGAAAGTTGACATTCTACATGGGAGTTCCTAAACTCTTTTATTAGATAAAACCTAAGCATCTAACGCCTTCCAAATCCCCAATTTTGACTTCAAAAAACCCACAGTCACAGTCAAAGCAACTCTGTCTGTTTCTCAGGCTGCTGCCGCCCAGGCTCCAAATGCCCATCAGAGGGAACTTCATACATGATGTAGGAGAAAAGGGGATTTCATACAAGAGAAATACCCTTCAAAAGCTGTATTATATAGGCAACAAGTAAATGTTAATATTTATTCCAACTACCATAGAACTTGCTTCTTGGGTACATATAACAGTTTTTAACCAGAATTGAAAAAGTGCATATAGAGAAAGGTTGTGAAAAAATTAGATTATCCATCTGTTAAGACAATTTAAAACACTCTAGAATGTAATAATGTCAGTAATCTTATTTGCTTGGCATTTTTTTTTCTTTCGTAAGAACAGGAAGAAGAAAATTATCTGAAGTTAGCTTGTTTCCAGTAGAAACTGAAGTTCTAAGAATATCCATATAGCCAGCTGTGCATGGTGGCATATGCCTATATCCCAGGTACTTGGGAGGCTGAGGCAGGAGAATTGGTTGAACCCGAGAGGTGGAGGTTGCAGTGAGCCGAGATGACACGACTACACTTCAACCAGAGGAAAACTCTTGTTTCAAAAAAAAAGAAGAATATCCTTATAGAAAGAATTATCTAAATGAGCTAATTTAGGAAGAAAAAACCCCTGTGTTTCAAAATGAGAAGAGCCAAAACCATATTGAGCTTTAATTTTACTAGTTATTTCACAAGAGATTCTGGCTTTACATTTTCAAAGAACATTGGACCAGAAAAGGAAACTATCTGACGAAAAACAAGCTGATCCAATAAAAACCACATTTTAGAGGCAGCCGGTGGGGGCCTAGTGGAGGGAGGAGTAACAAGATGGCAACCAAGACAGTGGAGCTCCAAAAGCTGAAGCTTGCTGAACTTGCTTGTGGTTTGGAGACCAAGGGAATAAAGCAAGATCTTATCCACAGACTCCAGGCATATCTTGAAGAATATGCTGAAGAGGCAGCCAATGAAGATGATGTACTGGGAGATGAAACAGAGGAAGAAGAAACAAAGCTCATAGAGCTCCCTATCAAAGAGGAAGAACCCCTTGAAAAAACTGTCGATGTGGCAGCAGAGAAGAAAGTGGTGAAAATTACATTGGAAATACTACAGACTGAGAGAATGCAAAAGAGGGCCAAACGAGTCAATGTACCTGTGAGCTTGGAGAGCAAGAAAGTTGCTCGGGCAGCTAAGTTTGGGATTTCTTCAGTTCCAACAAAAGAGCTGTCATCTGATAACAAACCTATGGTTAACTTGGATAAGCTGAAGGACAGAGCTCAAAGACTGGATCTTTGAACTCCTTCCTTCAGCTTATCCAAGTTAACCATAGGTTTGTTATCAGATCTCCAGAAAATCTGATATGATGAGAAAAGCGATTTGGAATTGTCACAAGTTCAGCTGGAGCTGGAACCACAGAGAACACAGAGGCAAAGAAGAGGAAAAGAGCAGAGTGCTTTGGGATTGCCTGAGGAAAAGTTCTTGATACTGTCTGTTCTCCAGTGTTTCCATTTCTTTGATTCTTCTTGGTTACATATATACCTCAATGCACAGTCATGTGTCTATGTCCTGCCTTGCAATGAGGGAGCATGTACCCCGGGTACATCCATGAGCTGCAGCAGCAGTTTGACTTATTGCTGTTTCAGCTTTAAAGCTGTGTTTTTGTTTTTGATTGTGTTGCTTGTTAATAAAAATAGAAACATTTTAGAAAACTCTTCAGTTTTCTTCAGTGATTGCTAGAAGTTAATACACATTTTGTGTAACAGTATAAACAGATAGGGTTTTTTCGTTGTTCTAATTGAGAATGCTTGAATGAATAGGCTATTAAGATAAGAAAATTATTAATTCCACCTCATATACTCACTTCTTCTTTTTTCTTAGTTATTACAGCAAATACTTTGGTCTGATTGTCTGTGTCTTGTGACAAGCGATAGTGACCTAGTAGAATTGCATCAGTCC